ACTGATTGTGGTGCCGTGCTACATCTGCTTTCTGTGGCTCACAACAACATCACTTCACTCTCGAACTGATGACAAAGTGGGACCTTAAAACCGAGCTCCAGGTCACGAGGAGCTCTGGATTAGCAGGCGGCCGCCGCGCCGATCGAGCTGCTGATTAAGACGTCGAGGCGTCACGTCACGGAGACGTGGCGGCCTATCAGAGGAGGAAGTGTGGACGAAGCCTTTCTGTCAGAGGCTATCCATCATGGCTTCCTGTTTAGGGCTGACCGTGGGTGGAGAACACGGCAGAACAGAGCCAGATAACAACAGACAGAAAGACATAAACAAAACTCTCAATGCGAACTGCAGGGATCTGCTCTGAAACAGGCTCTTCTAACTACAGATATAAACCGTAATGATGAGAAACTTCTGTTCTTTTGAGGTCAAGGTGGTGTTCTACAGGTGGAATCAGGCCTGAGGTGGCCGTTTTGACTCCATGAAGCCGTTTCAAGCTCGGCTGCATCATGCAGGAGGGGAAGAGAGCTCGTACGCGGCTGCAGTAAACAAGAAGCCGGCTTCCTGCTGGAGACAAGAGTGCGGTCGAGTCTGTGGGTGCAGCGGAAACGCAACACTTCGTTTGGAGAGAGGAAGCTCTGAGCCACTTGTAAGCTGCTGGTGCAGGGAGGCTCCACCTTCGTTCTCTCCTCCCCTTTGACGCAGAACGTGTTGGCACAGTGAGCTGATGTAAGACTGACGAGAACCTGTCGAGGATCCTTCATGTCGTCTGCACGAGTGCAAAGCAACGCAAAGGGGAAGAGTGAAACCAAACAGCCTTGTTCTGTCTGCAGACGTGGAGGTCAACCCGACACCTCACACCGACACAAAGCGACAGCCGACAGACCCAATGACAGACTGTCAGCACCTTAATAAGCTGTCACTGTACTGCACTACCATCAGTATGCATGAGTTGATTTCTACATATTCATTTTATTTATATAGTTTTTTTTTTTTTAATCTATCTTTAAAAAAATATATGACACTAAGACAAGGTGAGAGAAACGTCTCTTGGTTCCTCTGTATGTCCTGGATATATACAGAAATTGACAATAATTATGATAACCAGTAAAATCACAGAAAAACACTTTGTAACTGTGAATAATGTCGACATCAAAACTGTATTTTTACATAAAGTAATTTGTTCTTTTACAACGTATGACTGAAATTACACAATGTTTTTCTGTACTTTAACCAGAAAAAACGTCTTTTTTTTTTTTTTTTTTTACAGATATTTGCTATTATTTGAAATGAAAATTATAAATTGAAAATTATTGTTTTTTACCTGTTATTTTACAGATTTTTTCTGTTTTCTTAAATTATGAATATTGAGTAGAATCACAGTAAAAGTTTTAATTTATATGTTGATTATCTAAAAAAAAATAAATAAAAATTCCATCTCTACATGAGGCCAAATTCTGTGTTTTTACAAAGTATATTTTCCTGTAGTGTGTTGCCATAAAATTACACTTCTTTAGTCTATTTAGATTAGCTAAAGATATATAAATATATGTGGATTTTTTTTTTTTTTAAACAGATATTTACAGTATTCCATAATTTAATTTATAGATTTTTCTGGTTCCGTTTTTAAAAGATTTTCACAGTTTAAAAAAAAAAAAAAAAGGATTTAAATTGTATTATTATTACCATTTTATCAGTGCATAGTGTCACTGGGCACAAGCTGAAAATCATACGTGGCTTCACACAAACACAGAATTATGTTTTCTTTCTGCAGCAAGCAGTGTTTCAAACCAAACCAAGCCAGAGCACACATCGGTCGGCAAACATGTTTCTGGAAGTCAGAATTTGGCAAAAAATTTAGCAGCTGACGAGATGAACGGTTTGTTGTTTAATTCTTCTTGTATGTGTTGAACTGCATCTGCTGCAGGTGTTCAGGTGAAGCTTTAAACCCGTCGCAGCTCTTTTCTTACCCTCAGTCAGAACGACATCCTTCAGCTTCTCCACAGCTTCGGCGAATCGAGCCACGTCCCTCAGCAGGGCCGGGATGTCCTCCACCTCGATGGCCGTGCTCTCCGGACCATCAGAGGGAGTCGTCGGGGTCAAAGCCCCTCTGCCCTGGCCCTTAGTGAACACCCACGACTGGAGCGGGAACCCTGAGCGGAGACAGAAGCATCACTCAGCAAACATGACTTTAGCCTTCATGAAGGACTGAATAGACCTGCAGAAAACTGACTGGTACCATCACTGGGATTCATCAGTACTTTATCAAACAATTAGACGTCATTTTCCTACAATTTAAAGGAATAGTTCCACTTTTTGATAAACATGTTGGATTAAAAAGATCAATCACACTCTGGGAGTCACATGTCTGTATGAAGAGAGTAAATTCTCCGAGCTGGTTGCCTGGCAACTGCTTCCAAGAGATAATTTGAGATATTGTCGCCATTTGATGACAAATTGCCATTTTTGCACTTTTTGTACATATGAACAAACGAGGCAGATGTTTCCTGTTTCAGCACTGTGGGAGATGAACATTTTCTAAATTTTTTTTTTTTACAAAGTTACTGTTAGTTTACAGATTTTTTGTGCTTTGAAAAGAAAAAAAGTAATAATTTACACATGAACCCTTAAAGTAGAGGCCTAAAGTCTAAATGATGCCCACATCAACAACATTTGTTTGTTTCTTTACATTGTGTATCCATAAAATTACACTGCTTTATTGAGTTTGTTTTTTTTTTAGATATTTGCATTTTGTCATTTTTACTTTTTTTTTTTTTAACATTACAACATTCTACATTTTTCAACATATATTTTCTGGCACCCTTGCTGTCAAGTTTTCACCATTTTGCCTTTAAGCTGCTAACAGAGGCCTTTTTTTTTACACTATGACGTGAGAGAGAGACCGTCTTGTTTACCCAGATGATCAAACTATTCCTTTAAATGTGAGAATTTGCTGCTTTTCTCTGTTTTATATGATTGGAAATTGAGTTTTTCACAGTTGGTCAGACAAACACGTGACTCTGAAGAGGTCATCTTGGGCTTTGAGAAGCTGTGAAGGTATTAAAACCAATCATTAGTGGTAGCTTTACTCTAGATTGGATCACAAACTTTGTTTAGCTCAAAATGTAACTGTCTGAAGGCTTCAAAATCCAACCAGACACTCTCTACTGTAGTGAATTTAAAGGGTTGCAATAAAAGTAAATCATTTCAGAAGTGTAGGATCTGTTTCTAGTGTTGTGTGCCCTGCTGGAGTGCCACATTTGTCCAGATTTTGTCTTCTGCTTCAGCTCAGGTGTGGATGTGGTGGCTCTAAGCACTAGCAGACATGAGCAAAACTACAATGAAGCACATTTCATAAACGTCTGAACCGGACCTGCAGCACTGGCGTGTCTGCTGAGGGCGGTCGGCCTCTTCAGGGTGGCCACAGGAGACGGGCAGCCCACTCCTTGCATGGCGGCCAGCTTGCCATGCTGGGTGCTCGGGGTGCCGGGGCAGGAAGCAGAGGGGTCCTGGTGCCCGGCGGAGGTCGGGGTGAGCAGTGAGGAGGAGGTGGAGGACGCTGGAGAGGAGGAGAGGGTGGCGTCGCCTGCATCTTTCCGAGGCTGCTCCTGGAGAATGGAGAGCTGAGGGCCAGAGAACAGTGATTTATGCTTTTACAGCCCGAGGACATCGACGACGACAGCAGTCGCACTGTTGTTGATAAACACACACGAGGACTTTCACAAGATCCTGTACCGCGTTGTGCAACACTTCCTGACTCCAAGCGACTGTTGGGTGCGGCAGGCCGAGCACAGTGTCGAGTATCAGAAATGTCATGAAGTGTTTGGAGTAGGAACAGTGGAAATGATCATCTGCATGTAAAACACAAATACTCATGGAGAAGGTTTTTTGTTTTTAAAAAAAGCCTCTTAGTGAACTTCTTCCACCAAATAAAGAAGATTTAAACGATAGCTCACAGTTTTGAGGCCTCTCAAGTGCATCTCCAAGCAGATCAAAGAGAGCAAACACCTTACAAGAGACACAACATCATGGCTGAACATTCGCTGAGCGTACTGGAGGTGCACCTACCTGTTTAAGCCATACACTGTGCTTGTTGGGCAGTATGTCCAGCCTGTCCTTGCCTTTCGACTCGGCGCCTCTCTTTACTCTCTGACCAGTAGAGTAAGGGTTGTAGCTGCTTTTACCGCCACGTTTCAGCATGCTCCGTCCCCCTACAGCCCTGTCCCCATTCTAATATCTAATCTGAAAGTGATCTGCAACCTGGCACTAAAAAAAAAAAACCCACAGTGGAGATACTTCCTATGTATTACTTAACCAGATGAGTCAGGCACAGATCTGAACATTCGGCTCTGTCACTCTGCATCTTAATGGATGTCTTAAAGCAGCCACATGACAAACTCCAACAAAAAAAAAACAACCAACAACTTATATCTGCTGTAAGTAGATCCACACTCAGAATCACCCCTGACTGGTCTGTCTGCAGCTGAAGGTCATCTGACACCACACTAACACACACACACACACACACAAAGACACACACTAGTAGGAACCAGAAGTGATGCGCTACTCACAGACTGGGCGCCACTCTGTGGCCCGGGGCTTCCTGCTCGGCTCTTCTTCGAGATGGATGGCGTCTTGATCAGTTCCCGTTTCTTCCTGGTGAACATCTTGAGCGTGCCTTTGCCGTCCATCCCGACCTCTTTGAGTTTTACGCACAGCCCCCCCACCCACCCCCCGACGCGCCACTTGGGTGATCTGCCGCTCAGCGGGAGCTCGCTGCCATCCAGGCCCACTCTGAGCCACGGTAACTGTCTGCTGTCTGTCTTCCTCCTCCCGCTGTCGCTCATCGAAGCCGCGCAGGCTCACTGACGGAGAGAGAGAGACGCAGACCGCTCACCGCAAACTGTGCGCTCCTGGCATCCGCTCTGCGCGCAACGCTGAGTTTCCTCAGGGGAGGAGGAGGAGGGACGAGCGTCAAGTAAACTTTGTCCAGCAGAAGATTTATTCGGTTTACGTTACAGACACGAAAACAAAACCCTTACAACAGTTCCTCTTAAATTCAAAACGGACCTGAAACGCGAAGGAACCGAGTCGGTGCGGTTCAAACTCGCAGTAATCAGTCCATCCTGACGCACGTGTGTTTCCAACATGTGACCCTCCTCAGTGAGCACCTGCTGCGAGCACAGAATTAAAACCCTCAGACGGATCAAACATGACGTTTTAAAATCATCTTTTATCAACTTCACTTCCCATCAAGTATGTTCTCTTCTTCATATTTTGTTGTGTGTCGAGATCTACTTTTTAACCATCACGTGTTTGGTCAAGTCGCTTGAAATCTGCGTTTAATTTGTTTGAAAAGTGATATAAATAAAGTTTGAGTGACAATTTATGCACTCAACAACTACTTTACACATTTTTTTATGTTCTGGAGGAAAAAATACAGAAATGGTTGATATCAGTGTTTTAGGCTGTACAATCTCCAGCCTACAAGTTGTTGTTTGATAAATACCATTGAATTTATAGAAATTTATTTACTTTGGGGGGGACAAACAAACAGAAAAAAACATCTCCATGAATTGACAAGGTTTGAAATCCACTTTATGAAATAAAATGACAAAGGTGTTGCTGATCTTGGTGAAATTCCAACATTTCAAGACAAAAAAATCTTATTTGAAGCCTGTTTGTTGCTCATTTGTGAACCCAAAACAAACCATCCATCCATTTTCTATACACCGCTTAATCCTCATTAGGGTCGCGGGGTGGCTGAAGTCTATCCCAGCTGACTCAGGGCGAAGGCAGGAGACACCCTGGACAGGTCGCCAGTCCATCACAGGGCTACACTTAGAGACAGACAACCAAGCACACTCACATTCACACCTACAGACAATTTAGAATCACCAATTAACCTCAACATGTTTTTGGACTGTGTGGGAGGAAGCCGGAGAACCCGGAGAGAACCCACGCTGCACGGGGAGAACATACAAACTCCACGCAGAAAGATTCTGGTGCCCACACCGGGATGCAAACCGGCAACCTTCTTGCTGCGAGGCAACAGTGCTACCAACTGCGCCACCCTGCAGCCCCAAAACAAACCAAAACCTTAGAATTAGTTGTAACTGAAATGACCTTTAATAAAGGGCAGCTAAAGCCACATTAATTTCAATAAATACTTTTTGATAACAGGAGTTTAGCAGGGTTATTGTACATAGTTCTGATTTTATTTGTATTAATTTGCTTCCACGTTTTCTCTGACAGAGTTGTGATTCTGTCTCAGTCCTGCCAACCGCTGAGCCCAATGATTCAGGATTACACTTCAAATTTAACTGAAATGTGTCTGAAATGGTGAGCGCCAAACTGAGCTGATGTTTCTACGTTCATCTCCTCTGCAGAACAACAAAGGTGGGTTTCACAATGAAAACTAATCTGATAGAAGGAGTGAATGTCTACCAGAACTGAAATGAGGATATAAAGATAATAAAAAGTTTACTGGAGCATCGGTTCCATAAATGTATTTAAGAATGTGTGAAGTGTGAGCGATACATTATTATTTAAAGTTTTTTAAAAATAGGTTTTGTACACGGAAAGGCCACAATATTGGATGAAAGCTTTGTACATGTTGGTTTTAATTGCATTTTTAGTTTTTTTAACACCAAATTAGATTTTTAGCTTTTACCATAAAGCAACTCCCCGTAGCAAAGAATACAATTTCCACATCACATTCATATTAATATTAGCACTGATTAAGGTTATTTGAACTCTGCAAGAAAAACAACAACAAAAAAACAGACATAGGAGACACTTTAAACAAACACATTGTAAAATCAGAAAAAAACATTTTAATGTAGAAAAAGTTAAAGAGACATCCAAATATTTCCATAAAAACAGACTCAAACATGATTTGTTAATAAAACTTGTAAGAATTTGTACACTGCTCAGCCACAACATTAAAACCAAATGTTCTGTAGATCCTCCTCGTGCAGCCAAACCTCTCGGACCTGCTGGGACACCAGATCCTTCCTCTGTGGATCGTGTTTGTTCCAGTGCACGATACAGATGCTCGGTCACATCTGGGGCAGGTCTTTGCCATGTTTCTCAGCCTTTCCTGGGCGCTTTTTGGGGTGTTGCGAGGTGAGCTGTCCTGCTGGTGGAGGCTGCTGCTGTCTGGGAGTGTGTGTTGCATCAACATGAGCGCCGGGACACAAGGTTTCCCAGCAGAACACTGAACTGTAAAAAAATTAAAAATGTCGTACAGCTCACCTGTCAGTGAGTTTAACATTGTGGCTGATTGGTGTATAATACAGCAGCAATAACAAAGGGCAAAGTGATCTGCTTCACGTGAGTATTTTAAATTAAAAATCTGAAAAGAAATCAGGCACTTTGATGTGAACATTCATTCGTGAACCTTTTTTTCGTGATGTTAAAACTTGAAGTTGTCGCTAAAGGAGGTCTTGAATAGCCTCCTCTATCTCACACCTGAACAAGGCCCTCTGTGCATACATTTGTTTTAAAAAAACATACAAAACAATCCAAGAATTGAGAGTTTGTTGTGGGAGTGAAATTGCTTCCAGGTCCTTGTTGGATCAGAAGGCAGCAGCTTCACTCCTCTGTGCGTCTACAGTTCGGTCGCAGGACCCCATTCGATGTCCTCCGTCTCATCGTCGTCGTCGTCGTCCTCAGAGCTGTCGCTGCCTCGGATCTGTGTGCGTCTGAACTGGACTGCTTGGTGGTGATGCGCTAAGCTGTTGGAGAAAAGCAGATTTAAAATTAGACTGCTTGTGGCTTCACTTCATGAATCCCAGAAACCGGCAGACAGTAGAAGAAGACTTACACGATGAACTGAGGGGCTTTCTTTGGCTCAGCTTGTGGTTCTGCTGAACGAGCCTGGAACAGAGAAACGCATTTTAAACAAGGAGTTCTCAGAATTCTTCACACTGAAACTCATATTACTGCAAAACACACAAATGAAGCATCATAGAGGTTCTGTGATGACTTAAAGACTATATATGTGATGTAATGTTGGATTCATTTTAACCTTTTTCAAATCAATTATGATAAGTTCCAGTCACTATTCAGAAGGAAAAGTTAAGCTACAGACTGCCAAACTTAGCTTACTGCTGTGCTTTAATGCTACACTAGTAGTTTCCTTCAGCTGGAAAAATATCAGACTGAAAACATAAGAAGATGTGCAACAATAAACTAAATGAGAGGTCATGTGAATTCAGTAGCTTTTAAAAAATGGTTTCATTACAGTTAGTTTTTCTCTGTATGTATCACATGTGGTTGACTGTAATTCAAAATATCACGTAGGTTCCACCGTTCAACAACTGAAACTTTTAAAGATTTCACCCAAACAGAGCCGACCGTGGCTGTTCAGGTGTTAAAAGTTTCAAATGAAGAGAACAAGCGATAGAATTTAATCTTCTCGGCTACTTTGATAGACTGATTCTCCTCAACAGGAAGCAGATGAAGCCACCAACTCACTGAACCTTGCTGAAGGATGTGATGCAACAACTTCAGTGAGAGAAAAAAACAAAACAAAACCCTGAGAGGGACTGTAACGTACTGCTTCTGGAGATCTTTTATAGATTGTTTCACTGAAGCAAACTCAATATGAGTTAATAAAGACTAATCAGTGAAGGACATCCAGAGACGTTGTTTCTTTTCATGCCTCTTCTTATTTTATTCAAATTATATCAAATTTGTTGCCAATTTTGTCAAATAAAAGACTGAAGCACAACTTATTTAACCCTCTGAACTCCAAAATTTGCTATCGGGTTTGAAAAGCACGTCGTCTCTAAAAAATATCCCCCAAATGACACAATTTATCAGAACTAGAAACCGTAAAAACACATCATCTGTGACTAAATCGTGATAATTTAAAGTCACTTAATTGTGTCTCATTTGAAAATTTTACAAAAATGAAATGTTTGCATCAACCAGATTCTGTAAAATTCCCCACATCCGTGAAGCTGTTAGTGACTCAGCTGCAGCAACAGTCACATGACATAAATTCAGGGACTTTTTGGCTAAAGTGAAATTAAAATGTGAAATATCTAAGGCATGTAGAGGCACCATCTATTTTTTTTTTTCCATACAGTACTGGTAACATTTGTGCACACTTGGAAACATGTTGTACATATTGATTCCAGGATTTATGAGATCAAAACTGTGTCACACTGCACAAGAGACGTGTTTGTGTTCTAGTCATAGTTGTGTTGTTTCCATAGAGGTGCAGGACTTTATATTTAAATAAAAAATGAGCTCACAGTGAGTTAAAATAAACTGACAGAATCATAAAATGCCCAGAACCTGCTTGGAGATTCACACATTAGTCATTTAATGAGAGAACAAACCTGCTGTAGTTTGTCCTCGATGGTGGACAGGCTGGCAGGCTCTGAGCTCTCCGGCTGCACGTCAGCGTACGAAGGTTCGACCAGGGAGTATCGAGTGGACGGGTCAGGAGCTACAAAGTCTGGCGGCCCGTCTGACGGAGTGGTGGGAGCGACTACGTCCAGAGCGCTGAAATCTGAGTCTGTGAAACTTCGGTGAGAGGGGTCTTCCTCCTCTGCGGGGCTGCGAGGCGGGCTGTACTGGTCCCGGCGGAGTGACCGGGGCTCAGGGACGTGCATCAGCGGCGGGATTTCCCTGAGCGAGTGCGTGTCCGATCGAATCTCGGCCTCCATCGTGGGGCTCTCGCGCTCGTAGGCCGGTTCGGACGATCGGGCCAAAGCAGCTCCGGCCGCCCTGGAGCTTCGTGGGAGCCTGGCTGCGTCCTGGCCGGGGTAAGCCTCTTCCAGGTCCTCGTTGTCGGTGTAGACCTCTCCGTCCGTGAAGGCCTCGCCGTCGGTGTCCTCCAAGTCACTCGCAGCGCTGAGGTAGTCGGACTGGGTTTGGTCCAGAGCATCTAAGTCCTGTTCTCCACCGCTCTCCAGCTGCACAGAAAGAGAAATCACATAGATTTAGTGAGTAGCTGGAGGGATGTTCAACAAACTTTAAGATAGACACAATGTTTTGGCAAAAAAAAAAGTACACTTATTATCTGGAGTTAATGCTTTATCAAAATTTGTATCAATTTTTCCAAATGAAAGATTGAAACACATCTTATTTAATCCTCTGAACTCTGCTGGCAAAGTTGAAACGCAAGTTGTCTTAAAAAAAAAAAAAAAATCAAAAAAATGACACTATTTATCAGAGCTCAAAAATGTAAAAACAGAAGGAATTGTCTGATTGTCAGTTCTCCAACGGTCCTTAAACTCCTCATTTGTGACAAAATCAATGCTTAAAACTGAGATACTTTATTCCACATGTCTCATTTTAAAAAAATGCCAAAAATAAAGTGTTCGCATTAAACAGATTCTAAAAATTCTGCACTTCCCAGCACAACCACAAAGCTATTAATGCCTCGGGTGCAGGTTTGAAAGGCATGTTGTCTTTAAATTAATTAATTAATTAAATCACCTAAATTATACTATTAATCAGAGCAAGTAAAAAATAAAAATAAAAATGGATTCAAGCAGGTTGAAGCTTTCTGAGACTGTTTATGCTGCACATTGATGAATGTGAGCCACAGTTCAGACATGCACACTGTTGTTCCACTGACATAACCTCAGCCCCTAATAGCCACACCTCGTGCTTTTTACAGCAGAGTTTAACCTCTCGTGTCAGTGGTTTTACAAATTCTTGCTGTCCTAGTTGTGTGACAGTCGTACCGCTGATGGTATCCGATGTGGTAATAAAGCTCCATCACATGTTTTGAATCTATCACACAGTCAATATTGAGCTGAAGCTTGAGTTAAAATTGCAAAAAGTAAAATCGTATTTACATATGTTCTATAAATCTCTCAGCCCTCACTGTAGCCACACACTTAACATATTACAAAGTCTATGTGAAAAGGGGTTAAATGCAAATGTTGAGGTGTGTGAAGAGGAGCTGTGTGTCGTACCGTGACTTCAGACACCCAGACAGGTTTGGACTGCTGGTGGCGGATCTTGTCCTTTAGAGTGTCGTACCAGACGTTGGAGCTGGGCTGCAGGTCGACGCGTGCTGGAGGGAAGGTTGGAAAAAAGAGCGAATGACTGAATCTGTACAGCTAAATCTGTCATGGCTAAATGAAGAAAGAAGTTTTTTCTTAACCTCTGTCCTGTTAAATTTCTCATGCATTTTCCAAGTCCAACGGGATGATTACCTGCAAACAGGTGGCTGCAGTGCTTCCTCATCTTCAGGGCCTGTGTGTAAAGGCGTCTGGAGCTCTTGTTGGAGTTGGGGCTGTACCGCTGCCTCATGGCTTTGACGTCCTTGCGGCTGTGAGGGTCTAAGAACAGCACCATGGGGTGGTATTGGATGTAGTTCAGCCGCTCCACTGCAGTGGGAGTGATGTCCAGCAGAGGGTGCTTGTCCTGGGAGGAGGGGAAATGAAAACACAGTCAGAGGAGGGAACAACCAGAACACAGAAACTACACAGATTCTTATGTTGTAAACACACATCTAAACCCCCAAACCCACCAGCAGGTTTGAAAATCATGTTATTATTTTAAACTATTAAAAAACTAAACCACCTATTAGAGCAAGGAACAGTCAGTTTCTACTCATTGACTAACTACTCCTCTGTGTCATATGAATATTATCCACATCTGAGCTTAAAATCCTGATATTTCATCAAGTGTTCTGCGTGTCATTTAAAAATGAGCCACCAATACACCATTTGCACAAACATGATCCTGTAAAAAACCCAAAATTTTGCAATTCCTGTTGCAACTGCAAAGTCATGAGTGACTCAACTGCAACAGTTTTGTGACAAAAAGTCAGGAATTTACTTTTTTCTGAACTGGGCTGAACTGCAGGCTGTGCTTATACAGGGCAGATAGGAAACAAATTAATAAAGTATATAGTGAAACATATATAGCATGTAGAGCCACTGCTGTTTTGTTCCAGTGTTGGTAACACCTGTGGACACTTGGAAAAATGTCACTCATGTGACTCCAGGTTTTTCATCTTTGGTAAAATAAATAAAGAAATGTAACTTGCACTTTTTTATGATTTATAACATTACAGCTCTGTCATACTACACAGCAGACATCTGTGAGTTCTCTCTACTTCTAGCTATGGTTGTGCTGTTTCCATGGACGTGCAGGACTTTATGTTGCAGTGAAAAACCAGTGAGTAAAAATATGACTGGAGCAACAACAAAAAAAGCCCAGAAACTAGTTGGTGTAAACTAAATACATCTAGACTTTTGACTGCTCACCTTCTCTGCTATTTTCCTCACAGTGTCCAGTTTAATAACAGTGGAGGCGCTGTCTCCTCCTCCTCCACTACGAGGAACCATCTCTGTAACAGGAAGAAAAAAATGTTTAATATCAAGATAAGATCAGAAACACGAGTGACAAACACAGGGAAGTATGTTGTATTTTCAAGTAACTGATAAAAAAATGGGAAAAAAAGGAAACCAACCTGCCACCTCGTATTTATCAGGCATCTCTCTGGCCAACTTCTCCATGGCGATGTCATTAAGAGGACCCAGGATGACAATGGGTCGTTTGAAATTAGCTGGAGAAACACACAAATCAGCCGAGTTAAAACCTGTTCAATTAGCTGTGGATTTTCTTCATGACAGGATAAAAAACTCGAGTACCTTCTCTAAGCAGGACTCTCTCGTAAGCCGGGAATTTGCCCTGAATGGTGAGCTGCAGCAGATCGTCACGGGACCGTCGCACGTTCTTCTCGCTCTTCTTATTCCCTCTGAGCCCTCGTAGTTTCCAGAACTCGGCTCTCGGTCCCGACACCTGCTTCTCTGCAGTCCCCCGCTGAGACCGCTCCATGATCGCCATCTTCTCGGCCCTGCAGGATAAAGAAAAACTGAATCCTGGTTCTCTCGGTTTAAATCTAAATCTCCTCTCTGTGTCCTCCTCCCTCACCTGTCCTGGTTGGGGATTGTGCCTTTGTCCATCTCGTGCAGGTCGTTGCCCATGCGGATGGCCAGCCATTTGCCGATCTTCCCGCGGTGCATCGTGTCCACCACCCTGAACACTTCTCCTCTGGTGAAGCCCAGACCGATGGGGCCGTCGGGCTCGTGATCAAAGTGGGTTCGGATGTAGAAGTTGTCTCCCAGGTTGGACTTGATGATTTTCTTATAAACTGAAGAAAGCCAAGGTTAGGATTAATGCGTTCTCTCACTAGTTGGGACTCAAAGAAGGAAGTTATTCTACGATCAGCTTTGCTCTACACTTACGGTCCATCTTGTTCTGTGTGCAGATTTCTACCGGTTCTCCTGTCTTGACGTTGAGGAGAAAGTTGGCGGCTTCTTCTCGCGTGAAATGGCCGAAATCAGTTCTATTTACCTGAACAAAATGAGAAAAAACAGAGACATTATAGCTTGAGGTGTGAGAAGAACTATGTTAAGACACCCATGTTACCCAGAGTCAAGACAAATTACTTGTAAATTTATAAAAGCTGTAAAAACTAATTTCCTTTGGGATTACAAATTCAGATTACATTCTGATCTGGTGAAATTCCCATCATAGAAAACACAATAAATCAGTTCATTTAAGTGTGACTGTTGAATAATTACACTGAATGATGGAAAGTTTGATGTAAAACTCCTGCATTTAATAAGCAATGTACGACAAAGCAAGACTAAGGGGTCATTGAGGTATAAAATTATGATTTTTAAGTGTCACAACAGTGGCTCTCTTTTAACCTGCTAGATCGCCATGGTAACTGATGCTGAACACCTAACCAACCCCAAAGGAGGTTGAGTTTAAAATTTAAATCAGCTGCAGGAAGCATCTCCCTTTCACCAGGTCTCTTCCTGATCATGTTCCTTAAGAGCGATATAGATGTATATATGTTTAGATATGTGCAAACCAGTTGAGCCAAACACTACTAATGGCATTAAATGAAACCGTGTGGTGACAACAGCTTGTTTTGCTTGAGTATCATGGTTGAACGTCTGAAGTTTTAAAAGCTGTCATGTAAAAAAGCAGCTGCATTGAAAGTCACTAAGTAGGACAACAAAGGTTTTAACTTATACCATTCACAAATACCTACAAGCATTTATTATCTTGCTTTATTTGCAATAACATCCCTGCTTGCCCTAAAACTGTTTACAATATTCTTTATGGATTTCCCTGAAAACAAACTGTTCTTCTATACTGAAGCAGGCAGCACACAATCGGTCCAATTTGTTCAGAAAATTTGTCAAACGTTGCATCAAGCATCCCTTTTAAGGGAGCATGTACAGAGGTTGATGAAGGAAACCTGGTTAACAAGAGAAACTAATGACCTACTGTTATCCATGACGGTGGTTTTAGGTTTTGTTAAGCCAGCAAACATGAAGAAAGTCCGGCTAAGTCAAACCTCCTTTGCCCTGATTTTCAGAAGCTAAAATCAATAATCACAGCATGTCCTCATAACTGATAATCTAAGAGGTGATAATGAATAAAATAAAAGGCGCAAAATCAAAGTTTGGTCACCTGCATGATCTGGTCTCCCTCCTTCATCCCCTGGTCGTACGCCGGACTGTTCGGCTGAACTCCGCCTACAAAGATCCCGACATCGTTTCCTCCCACGAGCCTCAGACCGACGCTGCGCTCCTTCACAAACGACACAGTGTGAACATCCGAGCTGTACCTGAGAAGAGAGCGAAGAAATCAGATCACTGCCGCAAATGAATTTACAGCAACGTATTTAAAGCCAGACGGACCGACACTCACCCCGGATTAGAGGATGGATAGGAGTCTGGAGGTAGAGAGTAGATGGGCTCCTCTGTAGGCTTGGATGGAAGAGATGCGGGAATGCTGAGACTCCCAGCTGAAGCTATGGATGAATAAAAGGTCCAAAATAATCAGAAAAGCACAAAATAAACAACCTGCTCTTAAAGCGCACTAGAACTGCTTGTTTATTCTGTAATGATCAGCTTCAGTGTGAAAATAACCAGCAAATGTTTGACGCTTTACTTGATGAATTACTAAAACAGTAAAGAAAACTGGAATAACTCAAACAACTCAATCATTATCAAAGTCAAAGACAATTTGATTATTCGTGCTGATGCTTACTGTAAACTGGTGGGTTGCTCTTTACTGAAATCCCAGACCTGAGGGTGCCGGTTCCATTAGGAGCACGAGGAACACTGCAAAGTGGAATCAACATATTCATTGATATTAGTCTCATATTGGGCTGCAAGTAATTATCACTTCATTGTTCTTCTTCATGGTTTTTGTTAATTGATTAGTTGTGTCAAAAAAAAAAGTTCATCTGTGTTTTCCAAAACCCAAGATAACGTCTTTAAAAGTCTTATTTTGTTCACAATGTAATATACAATACATTATATATACACACATATTGTACTCCTATCTGCCTGTAAACACTGTCTGCAGTTCATCCCACTTCAGCTAAAATGTCCCTGAATGTTGGTCACAGTTGAGTCACAAATGGTTTCATGGTTGTGCCAAGGAGTGCAGCATTCTTTGTTTTTTTTTAAAGAATATGAGTAGAGCAAATAGTTTTGATATGGGCAGTTTTTTTAAACAACACATGTAGAATAAAGTGATTTTAGGAAATGTCACAATTTAAAGCTCAGATCTGGTGAAGTTCAAGGACCATCAGGGAGTTAGAAAGCAGAGAATTGTTCCTGTTTTTACAGTTTCTGGCTCTGATAAATTACATAATTTGTAGATATTTTTTTTTAAAAATGACATGCCTTTCTGCCAATTTTGGGGTTTATAGAGTTAATAACTGAAAATTAATCAATTAATCATTGCACCTTTGGACTTTCAGAACACTTACAGCAGTAAAGTACTAAAGGAACTGATGCTAGATGTTTATGTACAGTTGAAACAATTTTTTTTTTCTCACTGCCTGATATTAAAGCAGACTAAACTTGTCCTGTTTTAGGTCAGTTAGGGTTACCAAAAACTAAGAAGAAAGTAATAAAAAAATCTTTAAAAAACAAAATCTCTCTCTCATTATTCTGGCATTTAGCAAATAGAAATATTGATGTAAATACTGATGTAAAACAGGAAAAGTTTAGTCTGATTTAATGTCAGACAGTAAGAAAAAAAGATTATGTGTGTTTTTATAGTGTATGTAAAGATCTGGTTTCATCTGTATAGGTGATTAATGAGGTGAATGATATCACTCCACTGTACCTGCGGCGGTTGTCTTCCCGCTCTGAGCTCCCAGACCTCCTGAGATGTGAAAGATGATCCGACTCTGAAGAATCTGAACAAAATATATAGAGAATGACAGATTGTTTTCAGGACCTGCTCCAATACTTGATGCTGTAATCTAAAATACCGACAAAAATAGCAAGAAAGGGTGTGAAACAGTACACTGACCATCAGGAGGTGGTCTGACGGGGGACGGAGCACGACGAGGAGGTTCCTGCTTTACATGGACTGAGGGGGATTTCTCAGGAAGGACTCTAAGAAAAGCAGATGAAAAAAATCAAACAAAACACGTCATAGTTTACCAGCAATCTCCTTTGTCATCCGTTACATGTGTTATCATGACACCCAGCGAATTCACCGTAAATACAAGACAGTCACGTCAAAACTCTCATGTTGGTTTTGCACGTCAGCAGCTGAAGCTTTATGTGATTCAATCTTTACAGGAAGTTGTGTCATGTGCACGACTGTGTGCAGAGCGTCTTACAGCGAGACAAACACTTGTGTGTCTTGTGTGCTTGAGATAAGCAGATGAACCAGTCGGACATCCTCACCGCAGCTTAGCAGAAACTCAAAGGTGCATTTCGAAAGTAACAGTAAATCTTGTTTGGCTGAAAATGTGCTTGTTTGTTGAACTGCTTATAAAATCTTTACATATTTGCAGCTTTTACTTCTACTTTCTCTTGTGCAACATGTTCATTTTCATTGTATTAAATGTTACTCTAAACCTGTTTATGATGTATTTTTAATGTTAATGTGCTCAAAGCTGTTGGTCTGAGTGCCTTAAATTAACTCCCAGAGAAACTGACGAAGCTGAACTTTTTTTTTTTTGAAGTCTACATCTTGACTTTATACAGTGACATATTTAAAGAGCCCATATTTTACACATTTTTTAATTCATTTTTGTTGTCTACTAGTTCATGTTTACTTACTTTAATGTCCAAAAAACACATTATTTTCCTCATACTGTACATTACTGCAGCACCTCTTTACATCATCGTCTCTATTTTAGCTTCTGTCTCTTTAAAGGATCCTACCGAAAAGCTCAGTCTGCTCTGATTGGTCAGTGGTCTGATGAAAGCGAGGTGATGTTGGTTATGTACTGTAACCTCACATCTATAAGTAAAGGGATGTAGCTTGAGCAGAGGCAGCTTTAGTGCGGCAGTAATGGTGGACTGTGATGAAACTGGTCATTCTTTAAGTGTCTGCCAACCTAGCTGCTAAGCAGGTGTTACGAAAATATGTGATGTAGATAAGTTCAGTTCAATTCAGTTTTATTTATTTAGCGCCAATTAGCATCATCAACATCATGTCAGGGCACAAGACGCTACAGTAATATACTACTGAGGATAAAACTCTGTTGACAGGAAGAAACGTGGCAGAACCAGGCTCAGGGAAGGCTTCAAATGAGGAGTTTTAAGCAGGTAAGAAGCAGCAAAATATTATACTATATAGAACAACCCCCTTTGGCAACAGTGGGAAGGCAAAAATCTAGCTTCTAGAAACATCTGGCAGAACCAGGCTGAGGGAGGGCAGTCATCTGCCTTGACCGACCTGGGTGAGGGTAAAGAAAGAAAGGCCTAGACATCAAAGGCGGAGTTTCAGGAAAGTAAGGAGGAGTGTTTTCTGATCTAACATCACTGTAGTAAAGCAAAGACACCATAAATCTTTTTGCAACCAACAAATCCTTCAAAAGTATTCTGGTCGGCCCTTGTCCTATCTTTGCTCCCTTTGTTGTGGGTTTAGGGATTTGTACATTTGTGGACTTTTTACATGCACAAAAAAAAAGCAGCTGTATAACATATTGAAGGAAAGGGAAGCCTCTCAAAAACAATAAATTGGGTTCTTTAAGACCAGTTAGGGCTATTGACAAGATTTAAGAGGCTGTAAGGTTCTTCTATGAACTGCCTATATTCAGATTGTACATGTGTTCAGGTTACTGTCATCAGTAGACTGCCGGTCAACAGTTATATTTAGGAAGCACTCTGTAAAGATTAGGGCTTGTTTTCAGGTTAGTCTTGCAGGTTGTGTGTATGAGGAGCACTGAATTGTGAAACTTGTCAATATATGAAACATTCTGTTTCTGAGCACTTGGGCGTGAAAAAAAGTTGTCTTTCGAGAGAAATCTTGTTGACGCCAGGTCATTATGACATCAAGCTGTCAGATGGTCTCACCTGTATCTGTTGTTGGCTGGGATGGAGTTTCCGCTGTCTGTTGACTGCTTTCGAGGGACAGATGCATAACTGGCCTCTGAGTCAGAGTCTGACTGAGCTGCTGAGGTCAATCAATGAAAAGTGTTGTTATGAAAAGTTCTACAAAAACATTTCATACTTAAGCACATAGTTTTGGATGTAACCAGCCAGGATTTAGATTGTAGCTTCAAAAATGTGATTACTCTTCTTACTTAGACAACATCGAGTCTACAATATGCTTTAGATTTACCCTGTAAAATACGATTTAAGTTAACGTGATGTGCACAGACCTCTCGGTGGCGGATTGCTGGTTTCGCTCCATCGCGGCGGCTCTACCGGCGACTGCAGGGAAACAGCTGGCAGGACTCTGCAAGAGAAGAGAGGGAGGCGGGAGTGAGGGAGGAGGAAGACAACAAGTCTCAGTTACGTTTGGCGAGGGGGGACCAGTGGCTAATATGATGATTATTGATGAGAGGATGAGACTGAAATGTTGAATATTCACCTTCTGATCTGTGAGGGAAGCGCTCTCTTTGACGGCTTTGTGACCGATCAAAACTAATCATTTTTAATGAGTGTAGCTACTTGATTCTTGATACTGTGGATTTCAAACATGTTTTATAACACATGCAGATTGTCAAGATCTGATGGATAAATTGGGAGCTGATCTACAGTGTCTAATGGTAGTTGCTTCAGTGAAGTGTCCTCTGTGTAATCAACACTTAGCCACATACAGGAGAGGAACATGTTCAGTGAAAGTTACTTTTATTTCATTAATTAACAAAATGCAACACAATTGGTACACAGTCAAAAACACAAATCAAGCACAAAAAAAAAGGCTATAAAATGAGAGTTTAAGCACAAAATGAGTAAATCAATAAAAATCAAAAACAGAACGGGGTCATTTAAGCTTAAAATGCAAATAAAAACATATGATTATTTAAAGATGGGAGAGACGTGCAGTCTGCTCAGTTTCCGGTCCGTGAGATCTTGAGAGTTCGGGTAGGGGGTGAGGTTTGGACCTTCATCTGTACCTGTATCTGCTGAGAGAGTCCTGATTGTACGAGGTGCTGTGCCTCTGAGGAGGCCCCGACATGCTGTCCGACTCGGAATCAGAATCTGAGAAGAAACAAAAAGTTAAAAAAAATCTTAAATATTTGGTAAATCAAAACCTGCAGTAACTACACTTGTTAATGAGCTGTGGCATCAGACATTTTTTTTCTGGTTTTGTTGCCTTCTTTTAAATCTTTTTTTGTTTTGTTTTTGAAAGTCCTTTCAACTAAATGTGTTTTTATCTTTCAGATGAACTGACCCTTTATTGGTTTGCAGAAATAATTACTGCTAATAAACTACAGTCTGATAATTCCCAGATTCTCTCAGCCACAGTAAAACTGCTGGATGTATTATTATTATTATTACCACCATCATCATCATCGTCAACAACAACAACAACATCAACAAAACAACAACTTTATTTATACAGCACTTAAAAAAAAGTTTAAAAAGTGCTTTACAGACAGGCTAAAAGTAAAAATAATAATAGTAGCAATAATGATAGTAATAATAAAAAAAATAAATAAATACATTTAAAATAATAACAATAATAATGTTAATGATGGTGATGATAATAATAATAATAATAATAACAATAAATAATAATAATAACAATAACAATAATAATAGTAAGCTGTACAAAATAAAACAAATTGTAAAACAGCATTCATCGGCCAGAACGTGTTTTTCAGAAACACTCCGATGGCTTTAGCTTCATGTGTCTGTTGACACCTGCGCATCAGCAAACATTCCAAATATTAAGTAAATACTGACAAGAAGGAGATGACGAGAAACGTCCGGGACATTCAAGAAAGTTGCATGTGGTTAAGTGTGTGAGAGTGTGTGCTGACCTGGAGGTGGGACTCTGACAGGTGAGTTGACCCTCCTCGGTGGCTCTTGGCGAACCGGGATTGGGGAGGATCTCAAGCCTGCGACAGGAAGATCAGGAAGAACTCTGCAGCAAAAAAAGGAAAAGACAATTGGGCATAGAAGCTGAATTGACAAGAAAAGATTCAGTTTGCTATTATTTCCAGCTGTGTGATGGCGCTTTGTATCATAAAGTTGATAAAAAAAAAACTCATGTTCCTACTTGTATCGGCTGTCCGGTCGGGGGCTCTCCCTGCGTCGAGGTGGGGAGGCACTACGGTCCGAGTCTGACTCCGACACCGGCCTTCGGGGCCGTGAGGCCGAGGATGAGGGCCGAGATGTGGTCCACTTGGGGACCACAGGAGAAGATCGAGGGTTGGGGAGGGTGGACATCCCGGACAGAGGTCTGAAGGAGGAAAACAACTAAAATGACTACTACTGATTTGTAGGGTTTCTATATTCTAGAGTTAGAGTAGAGTTTTATTGTCATCTGTACATGTAAGATGCATCGTTTCGACAAGAACTATGAAATTCAACTGACTTGTATTTGCTGGACGGGTCCCTCGTGTCCGAAGTGTCTTTCCTGACACGAGGAGGAGAAACACTGTGGTCGGACTCTGATTCAGATGGAGCTGAGGAAACAAAATTCGGCAGTTAGAAATAAGACAACAGTGCTTTTATTATTCCATCTTCAACATCTTTTGGATTTCAGTGTCAGCGCCGCCTCCAGCAGCTACATCAAACTGCAAGTCACAGCTCAAGTTAGAAAGCGTTTGGGTATTTTCTTTTTCTATTATTTCTAGTATATGATGCACGTGTGATGTGGTAAATAAAGTGATTCTTTGCAGCACTGACCTCTTCGAGGAGCGTAAGTTCTCGCTGGAGGCCGAGTCAAGGTGGAGCGAACAGGTGACGAATCCCTGGACTTGGGTGGCGGAGGTTCAGCTCTCGTCCTGGGTGAGAATGTTTTAAGCAAAAGGAAGCCATTACAAAATCAAATTCTAGTGTAGAAGTTACTACTTTCTTCTCTATCTCTAAATAGAAAAGATATTATATTCATTAGGTGGTGGAGTGTGTTGGGTTTGTACCTGCGTGTCCGTTTCTCTCTGGTGGGGTGACGCGATGCTCTGTGAGTCGGGACATCATCATCAATGTCTGAAATGTCTGACAAAAAAAAGGAAAAAAAAATATGATGAGAAAGACCAGAAGTTTTGCAGATTGACTTGCATTAAATCCTTCATCAGGGATGTCTATTCGTCTTTGTTTTCTATTCTTCATGTCTTTAGTTTTCCCACCTTTTAGTTCCTTTCCAACCTGCAGTCCTTTCTATTAATCTGATATCTTAATCCATCCATCCATTATCTATACACCACTTAATCCTCACGAGGGTCGTGGGGGGGCTGGAGTCTATCCCAGCTGACTCAGGGTGAAGGAAGGAGACACCCTGGACAGGTCACCAGTCTATCACAGGGCTACACTTAGAGACAGACAACCAAGCACACTCACATTCACACCTACGGACAATTTAGAATCACCAATTAACCTCAACATGTTTTTGGACTGTGTGGGAGGAAGCTGGAGAACCCGGAGAGAAGAGCAGCAAAACAAGGAGAACATGCAAACTCCACGCAGAAGATCCCGAGTGTCCCCACCGGGAAACAAAGTGGCGACCTTCTAGCTGCGAGGCAACAGTGCTAACCACTGCTCCACCTTGCAGCCCTAGATAGCTTAACATTAACGTGAATTCTTTTGGCTGCAATAATTATGTAATGACAGAATGCCGTCACTTCAACAACGTCTTGCTGCCAGTGATGTTACGTATCCCACGTTTTCAAAGGGTTTAATTCTCCATCTGGACCTCCTACCCTCCAGCTCCGAGCTGCTGTCTCTGCGGCGGTCGTCCTCGCTGTTGGGGGCGCTGTCCTCCACCTCGGGGATGCTGACCAGGAACCTGCGGTCGTCCCTGAGCACCGTCATGGTCAGTTTGCCCCGGCTCTTCTCCACCAGGTGCTTCGTCTCCAGCAGGGACAGATTCTCCGTTGTCATGCCGTTGATCTGCTCACAGGAAACAAATCGATTAACACACCACAAGGATTAAATTCCTTCACATATGACTGACGGATTCTAGAAGCTTCTAGGCTTTTTGTAACAACAAAGGTAAAAATGTTCACCTTGAGGATGAGGTCTCCTTCCTGTAGTGTGCCTTCTTTTGCCGCCAGACCTGTTTCTGTCATGTGCTTGATAAAGATCTGACTGCCCAGCTTCAGCCCATATTCTACAGGAAAAAGAGAGGCAGCAATAATCAGGAAATCACATTTAAGAAAAGATGAGAGGTTCTTTTCAAGGTAGAAACTTAAAAACCGAGCTTAGTTTTCTCTTGAAGTCTTACCATCTGTGATTCTCTTTTTAACCAAAGTGGTTTTGATGGGTTTGTCAGGGAAGTCGTTGCGTGGCAGCCTCTTGTACCCCGACGACATCAACGGCAGCGTGTTTGTGTGCCCGTTGCGGTTTGGCGAGGAGCTGCGAGCGCGGTAGCGGTTGTCTCGGGTGTCGCTGCCGTCGGAGTAGCGTCGCGATCGTCCGGAATAGTCCGCATCCAGCAGGTTGGAGTGGGAAGCAGCTCGCGTTCGTCTGGGAGGGTCCGGATCCAGCAGGTTGGAGTGGGAGGCCGCTCGGGTCGGTCTGGTGGTCGCCGCTGGGATCTGGATCTTACGAGGGCGTTTCACCGTCTGAAGAAGACCAGAGATTTAGAGGATGCAAGATAGATGGGAGTAATTTAGGCGTTTTAACCGGACTCACATTACAGGAGTTCTAAAATCTGAACTGATTTTGAAATCTGGATGCATAAAGAGGAACTTAACCGATATTGTTCTCTGTAATCTCAGGCATGCAAACACTACAATATCAGAAAATAATGGTGCATTACATAGTAGAGGATGTTTAAAGATTCATATTATATATTATTATTATTATAAGATTATTTAAGATTATTATGCCAGAGAGAGTAAACATGGAGCAATGCACCACCTCATGGGGAAACAGATGTAAAGAAACCGGAGACAAACGCAACAACTTGCGTTTATAATAATTTGGTTGCAGATGCCGTCAACACTGGTTGGTTATTTTTTAGTGGGAACTGGAGATGAGATTTTAACTAAGTTTTAATATCTGTGGTTAACATTATCCTCAAGGAGTACAACAAGTAGCATTGCTTGGTAACAGTGGAAGTAACCATCCTGATTTTACCTCTTAAATATCACATTTGATTTCATTGGGTGATGAGTCTGTGAGCAGTTCGGGAGGTTTAAAATCAGATCTATAAACTCCTTACATCATCTAATAACAAGCTGAACATGGGTTCAGACCAAGATCCCAACTAGATTTCTTATCCGGTTGTTGAAAAAAGGGGTGAAATGGACCCAACTCCTGCAGCGTGAGCCCGGCTTCACTCGATTCTTTCTCCATACTCACTATGTCAGCTGTCTTGCCACATGACTTGAGGGTCTGAATGGTGTAGTTAGAGTGCACATTCTCCATGGATTGTCCATTCACCATGACAATTTGATCTTTGTGGCTGCAAGGCACAAAACAAACAAAACAAAACACACAAGTATGATTCTGTCAGTGGGTTTACACACCCTCCAGGTAACATGCATGCAGACAGGCGATCATGTGTCCTCTTCTGTAAACAGTCGCGTTAAGAGCAGCGGTAGTCGACTTACAACAGCCGTCCCATTGCTGGTCCGTTTGGCAGCACATCTGACACCACCACCGCTGTGTCCCCGTTGTCTGGGTGAGGCTTGTCCTTGCCTCCAGATATGGCAAAACCAAACCCCACTTTGGAATCCTGCAATTTAGACACGATAAAAAGAAGAAAATGACCGACGGCGCAAGAAAGAATGCAGGAAGGTAGAGAGCGAGCATGTGTGGGAGATGGAGGAGATAGAGGGAGATGGAGCACATTCCAGCGACGTTCAGTTCAGTTTAAGACGGGACAGCGAAGGTGAAGCCGCTGTGGGGTGCAGCAGGGTGTGTCGCTTTGAATTCCTGCTGCAGTCTGAGCTGTGAAACTGAGAGGTCTGAAACACGGTCCAGGTCAAACCCCCGAAAGCCCTTCAAAATGCCATCAGAAAGTATACTGAAACTGCCTCTGAGCCACAAACTGAGCACAGACCAAACACATAAGGTCTGAAAGTTAAACTTACTTTACTGTCACTTAGATTCTACAGGTGGAAAAACAACTGAAACTTACTTTGTTTAGTGTTATTGTGTGTTGCTCCCATATTGTTAACTCCTCCATGCCTGGTTTCTGGAAAGAAGAAACAAACAAAAAAAAAAACACTTTAGCAAATGATTGTTTAACTTGGATATTACTAACTCATGATTTATTAATCCTGTCATGTAATCCGGGTCCTTACAAGGGGGACGGTTGAGCCTGAGCCGAACAGAAAAGAGTTTGTGTGCAACCTGGTCTCAGCGTGCTCACACCTGTCTGAATCCTGCCTGACCGGTCTGGAGGAGGAGCTACCTGCTATGTGTGTGCACGCTCCTCCAATCTATGAGCTGCTGACAACATATAACATCTGGTTCAGTGAGCGAACACACAGAAAAACAATGTATAGAGACGGAAAAAGCTGCAACTAACAACCACTTTTGTTACTTTCTTGGTTGTTAATTCACCGTTTGGTCTTGAAAATGTCGAGAAATAGTAGAAAAATGCACTTTAATCCAGTCTATGGTGACATTTTAAAATGTTTTATTAAGTCTATCCAACCTTACCTTCTTTTAGAACAAATAAAAGATTTAAATTCTAACCTTTCAGCTGGTCTAAGCAACAAATGTTTGCCATTTTTCCGACAAACTGCTATTAACTTTCAGTGAATCCCCTTATTACTATTTTTTTTGCAGTTTAGGAGACAAACATATTTCATTTCCAGTGACACAAACACATTGTGATTGTTCTACACGGCACATTTCTATACCTGACTCTCTGTAAGCAGTCGGGTTCTCACAGCCCTGGAGGTTTGTGAAAATTGTAGGGCTTTTGTCGGCAATCAGGTTTTCCAGTTTTATGCTTGTTTTGAAGCATGTTTTCTGGGCAAACGTGTTATTTCTATGTTGATTATGGGATACCGTGTTCAGAGGCAATAAAAAAACGAGGTCTTGATTTCACAAAGGAGCTGTTAAGGTCACATGATTTAGTTTTATCAGAGTCGCATCAATTCATTTGTGATTTTATATGAAATCCCCTCAGAATACATGGCACTAAAAGTACTGTTACATCTTAATTCTGCACATTTCTACACTTCTGCTCAGGGATTTTTTCCTGGGGAGGATTTTCTTAGACGACATGAGGAACGTGCCGCGCTAACGCCACCACATGCCTCTCGTAATTTGCATTTTCCACATTCTACCTCTCGCTAAAACAAAGCGCGGGCTGTCCATAGACTATATTATAATAAACTGTTGCTTTACAGTAAGAACAAGTAAAGCCAGATACACGAGTCAGACACAGAGCTTCCTATCATCAGCTGTCATAAACAGGTTGGAGTTTGTCCAGGCTTCACTACAGTAGATTATGTGGGTCACACAACGAGTACAAGGTTCTGACAGTTATGAGCACGTCTGCAACTTTAAAAGAACTCATTGAGGGCAAACACCCACCAGACATCCAATGTTCTGTTGCAGCCAAACTAGAACTGATTAGTTGTCAACTACCAAATTAATTGCCAACTATTTTGATATTAATTAATGGGTTTGAGAATTTTATTTAAGAAAAAAAGGCTAAATTATCTAATTTCAGCTTCTTAATCCTCTAAACTCCAAAGAGTGTTTTTCAATGATAACAATAAGAATAATATATATTTTTTAAAAATCACCAGATTGACAACATTTAACAACAGCAGAAGCAGTAAAAATAGAAAAAAAATGTCAGATTTTAAACTTTCTGATGATCCTTAAACTATTTATCTGTGACTGACAGTTAAGTGACAAAAATTCTTTTTTTTCTTTTTTTTTTGTTGAATTGGGCTGAACTGCAGACTGTGTTTACATAGAAAGGAGACGTATAGAAACAAATTAAAAACATAGTTAGTAACATATCTATAGTACATCTTTTGGTGCTTGGAAAAAAGTTGTACATATTTATTGAATTTTGATTTGAATTTTTTTGCAAAATAAATAATGAAAGAAATCAAACTTCCCCCCCCCCCCTTTTTTAAAATGATTTATGACATTATTCCATTGTTATAGCACAGAAAATACATTTTGGAGTTTCTCTACTTCTAGCCACGATCGTTGTGTTTCCATTGAGGTGCAGGACTTTATATGAGTTAAACCTGAATCCACAATCAGTAAAACTGTGACAGGAACACAAAATACCCAGAATAGTCTCGGTGGTTAAATTGAAATATTTTCTGGTTTCTTACACCTTTGTGACAGTGAATTGAATATCACTAGGTAGTGAACAAAACCATACACGTGTCATCTAAGGCTTTGGGATACACTGATGGACATTTTTCAGCATTTTCTGACAACTATTTAATCGAGCAAACAATTGTGAGTTTCATTCCTGAACTAAACACACCATCTGAAAATACTACATAACTGTCCTGATGCTGCCAAGTTTACTTTGTCAAATAAATTCTAATTAATATGGTATTATTATATTAAAAACCTACTAAAACACAATTACAGAGAAGCAGAAAATGTCTCAATTTATCACCATTAAAATCTTAAACTGCAGGAGCTCAGAGCGCTGGTGTACGATGTCGGTGCTGTCAACAGCAGGCCATTTGTTTGAACAAGTTAATCATAAACTGGAGGACAAAAAAAAATCAACTGACCTGATTGCTGGAATAAAAGCTGGTCATGGACTTTCTGACTCATGTTAAGCTACTGAAACCTGACGGGTGTTTGATTGTGTAGTTTCATTGCAGTAAGTTCTGATTATAGCCACTGTGAGTAAAGCAAGTACACGACTGACAAAACCATTAAAATCTGACAGTTCAGGAACACAGGTTGGTAAAAAAAAGGATCAAGCTTGTTTGCAGAGTGTCCTTGAACCCGTTATGGAGTTCATCTGACCTGAGACGAGTTTAACGGAGATAATAAATCAGGATTCGCAGATTTAACAAGTGAATCAAGGAAACAAGATCGCAAAACAGCTTCATAAGTGTCCTAATGAGGAAAATCTGTGGCCACGCTGAGCTGCTCAGTGAACCTGTATTCAAGACGCAGAAATGTAATCAGTTAAACGTTAACTCCGATCGAGGGCAAGCTGATGCAGCAGGATGATAAATCGAACAATGTAGGTCAGAAAGTCCCCATTTAAATGTTTTCTAACTGATGGTTAAAAAAAGATAATATGCAAAAAGCAGCTGTGTTGTTAGTCAGCAATGAAGAAAAAAAGTTAACTTATCAGGACTTTTTCATGACAAACATGGCATTTCAGTGAACAGGGTTGGAATAAACTAACTGAAACAGCTGCACGGTGAAAGTTTTAACAAAAATGTGATATGAAATAAAGATATATTAAATAAAAATGAGCAAAAAAGTAAGAAATGTCAACACAGATATGACAGGAATTTTGTATCTGCTGATAAAAGCTTCGTCTGCAGCTTTCGATTTCCACTTTGTGAGCTCTAAAGAGCATTTATCTGAGCGCTCATACAGATCAGGAATGATTTCTGTCTTTAATTGATTTTTACAGACAGGTTTTCCAGCATTTCCAGCCACGTTGCACACAGGTCTGCTGCGATGCTTTGTCTTTCTCGCTCTCCACTCACCAACTGGTCTTTGAACCTCACTTCCATTTCCCGCTGGGTTTCTCCAACCTGAACAAAACACCTGCGGCCTCCAGCGCTCAGCGAACAGCCAGCTCTTTATATTCCATATACCAGCAGCAGCAGCAGCAGCAGCAAAAACAAATCACAGAACCACAGTAATCCAACTCCTCCCTCCTCGGATCAGACAGAAACCCGACCCTCCTGCTGAAATTATTTGTAATATGACCAGTCGTGGTGTTTCTTTCTCAGCGAGGAGAAGAGAGGAAAAAAAAAACATCCAGGAGACACCTCACCTGGAGATGGCTCCTCCCCCCTGCAGCCTTTGCCCACTCTGAGACACTCTAGTGGCCTTTTATGTATGTGGATTTAAGGTGGAGCTGCACCGCCTCAAACCCCCCACAGACAGATACCGGAGCAGAGAAACACCTTAAATGTGGCAGCGACTGTAATCACACAGAGATAAGAAGCCCTGCATCCATCTGAAGTGCTGCTCTGGATATACAATACTGTTTACAAAGAAATCCGTTATTGATCCCTTAAACAGGAAAGTCCAAATCTGACTGCTTTAAAGTAAAAACAAAAAAAAGCAATCCACACATTCTGCCATCAAATTCTGCAAAGTTTTACACACATTTCCTTTAACCGGCCACACTTTTGCCTCTATAAACAAACAGTCTGTATATTTTTTTTCCAATGTTTTTAATTAATCGATTGATTATTTAGTGTATCAACACACAATGATATCAGCATCAACACTGGGATCAGCCCGACAACAGGCTTTAAAGTGAAATATCGGCTCAAGTAAGTTCAAACTGTTTTCTTACGTTGCCCAGTGAATGTGCACATTTAGAAAAAAATATATTTTATGCCTGCATGTGTATAATAGAGGCTGCAAGGTGGCTCGGTGGGTAGCACCGTTGCCTCACAGCTAGAAGGTCGCCAGTTCACGTCTTGGTGAGGACACCCAGGATCTTTCTGCGTGGAGTTTGCATGTTCTCCCCGTGCAGCGTGGGTTCTCTGAGAGTTCTTCCTCCCACAGTCCAAAAACATGTTGAGGTTAAGTGGTGATTCTAAATTGTCTGTAGGTGTGAATATGAGTGTGCTTGGTTGTCTGTCTCTAAGTGTAGCCCTGCGACTCCTGCCCCGCCGCGACCCTAGTGAGGATTGAGTGGTGTATAGATGATGGATGGATGGATGATAATATGTTCACTGTTACTACAGGAGAGATCTGATGTTTTCATTTTCATATTTATTGTGTCAGCAATTAGTCAGCCAAAAGTTTTATTGGCCATATCCCATATCACGCATCCCTGATTTAGCCTAAAAAAAGTCAAATAAAGTCAAAATGTTAAGTCTGATTAACATTCTGACTTGTCTATTCACACTGCAGACTGACTTTCTGCAGCCAACATTGCTGGAATCTTTATTTTCGTATCCTAATTTCAAAAAATGGCTTAAAAACACCTTTGGTAGGTTTACCACTATTCTTATATCATATATATTTCAACTGAATGATCAAACA